ACTCCAAACAAATCCCAGTCTGTGGGTCTCACCACCCGGAAACGAGCAGCTGAATATATGCACCTGGGTCATTAGTTGTCTTGTCTTGTGCGAGGGCGAGGCGGGGTGGGGATAGGTGTTTGGACCAGGGTCTGGATACACTGACAGCACCAGGTTTGCACAGACAGACCCCCTGCCCTAGGACAGGCCAGGGCCCAGATCCTCAGGCTGCCTCCCTACGGTCACCGAGAGTGCCCCTACCTTCTCCAAGGACATTTCCATCTCGATATTCACTTCGTTTTAGTGTCTCCTTTATAAAGAGATGATCGGGTAACCTAGGGCACTGTCTCGGCCTCTCACACTCGATGTCCTGTTGTCACCCCCGGTGCCAGACTCCCACTTCCGCCATCAACCCCCGTCTCCACGCTGGCAGCTGCGCGCGCAGCCGGCCGTCCCTGTCCGTCAATCACCCAATGGCCCCCCCACCCCTCCGGGTCAGTCAAACGTCACCAACGCCCCGCAGCCAGGCTGTCAATCACCACCAGGCCCCACCCGTCCCTCTGTCAAACCGCAACCCAGGTTCCGGTCCGTCAATCACCCCAAGCCCCGCCCCTGGCGGTCAACGGCTCCGTCACGGCAAAGCGCCCAATCAATCGACACCCCGCCCACATCCATTGACGCTGCCCGCGCACTCAGACCGCTCTCCTTCCTTCAGAGCCCGCCCACTTACCGGACCCCGCCCATCCATCCGGTTCCACCCATTCAGTCAGTTCCCGCCCATTCACGTTCATTTAGTGAGACCCCGCCTATTCACTCAGTCCCCGCCCATTAAGTCAACTTGCGCGTGGCCACGCCACTTCCAGACCCCGCCCCTCATGCCGAACCTCTTCCAGCAGGCCCCGCCCCCTTTCTTTCACGAATGGTATAATGAGGCAGATGCTAGGAATTAATTGTAAAAGCGGGAAATACTGTAAATTTGTGTTTAATGCCTCACTGTGAGTTGGGTTCTTTGTAGATTGGTCAAGGAGAAAGCCATTAACACTTCAATGTAATGCTTTAAATTGTACATTAAGATTAAATACTGCTACATATGGTAATTATATACTAGGCTCTGATCTTATAGTTATAATAGATAAGGCTTAATTTACATTTGTGTGTTTGTGTCCACATCAGTAGTCTTCCAGAACTCTACCCTCTCTGTACTATTTATACTCAGTGATGGGCAGCATTGAGATATATTTGCAAGGTTGCTCCAAGGTTCTGATCTCCTTGCATTACACACCTCACTATGATTTACTCCCCATGTCATAAACATTGATGAACAGTTATATACATTCTCACATTATTACTTTGTTTTACAATATTTACTATACATTTAATCTTTATCTTTCCCACCCCTCCCTAAGTCTGTGTTGATAAATGGGTAAAGAATGTCTATAACAAAGTATAGGAACACTGAGGTAAAGTTGGTGACTTTGCTGTTTCTCTGCTGACTGCCATTATATTGGAGGTTCAATTGTTCTTGCTGAGCATCCATCACTGGTAAGCCTCCCAGGTAGTCTGTTGGTTAAGATTTGGCACTCTCACTGCTGTAGCTCTAGTTTGACCCCTGGTAAGGAAATGATAATTTAATGTTCTGGGGCTGACAGCCAAAGTGAGACAAATTTCTTTTCAATTACTAGGGGACGTATGGGGTTAAAGTAAAAGGGGGTAAGTTTAAAGGAGATGCGAGAGGCAGGTTTTTTTACATAGAGGCTGGTAAGTGACTGGAGTGTACTGCCAGAGCAGGTAGTGGAGACAGATACAATAGCAACATTTAAGAGGAAACTTGACAGATACATGAATAGGCAGGGGAGATATGCGGACCGCATAGCTGCAAAAGGTTTTTAGTTTAGAAAGTCAGCATGTGTTGGCACAGTCTTGGTGGGCAGAAGGGCCTGTTCCATGCTGTACTGTACTTGGTTCTTTGAAGAAGCTTGCACTGATGTAACTGCAAATGTATATCAGAATTACAAAGTGATTATACACTTTCTTCTGCAGTATTACCTTTGGATATTGTTCTTAGTTCCCTTAGGAAGACATGAAGTAGTCCATCATTGCATTGTTGTTCTTAATCTGAAGCTTGTTCCCTTGGAGTATTAACATGTTCTTCAAGATTCAGTTCTAAAGCATGAATGCACAAGTTGCATTGGGAACAATTTGAGACAACAAGGTGCAGAGCTGGATGAACACAGCAGGCCAAGCAGCATCATAGGAACAATTTGATTTGGCTTCCAATGCTGAGCTGTTACAAATTTTAAGAATTGTGCTTTCCACATCTTTCAGTTTGCTGATCTATCAAAAGGATCTGCAAGCTTTACTTTTTCTGATTGATAGATTGACATAGGTGAATTTTGTTGCATTGTTTGATTGTTATTGATATTTGAAGTTATTGATTGTCATCTTGATTTGCATCATGATCTTCAGTAATTATCCCTTTTTCTACTATGGATACATTGTTTGTTTAAGTATGGGGTTTTGGAACCACACATCTGACAAAATACTATGGCAGTAGAATGGTCAGGATTTTGAACTGAAGTTTGCAGATGTGGTTTGTTTTTTCAGATGATAGGTCAATCTCTGGTAGATTGCTGTATTGTGCTTTGAGTAGTCAACATTTTCTGTAGAATTTTCTGCATGGAATGGTACATTTTCTGTATGATGCTTCTTGAACAATTTTCTAGACTGTAGTATTTGGGCTACTCATTCTAGATTTCAATCATCTTTTGATTTAAGAAGTTTACTGACTAATTTATCAAAGAGACCAACAATGATTCAGTTGCAAATTAGTTCTTATTTTAAGTATCCATAGTTGTATGATTCACATAGTATGTACAGGTCATTAATTAAGTTATTTGCAGGGAGTTAGTATTTGCTATTGAAGCATGATCTCGGCAGTGTCTCAATTGTTTTTGCAGTGAAACATTGGTCAAAAGCTGTTATGAAGTTGTTAAGCATAATTTGTTATGCAACACAGGATCCCATATTCTTTCCACATCATAGAGAAGGATGCTAACTTGTTCTGCATTTGATTTATTACATTTATTTAATGTTAATTATTTATTTATTATATTTCAAGAAAAGCAAGGCTCTCAATATAACTCCCTGCGCATGAGTGCACGCCAGGAGCAGCACCAGGCATACCTGGAATTACCTGGCAAATCTAGCAAACAGGATCACTTGCAGGCCAAACAGCATAAGCAGAGGTGATTGAATAGCTAAGTGATCCCTCAACCAATGGATCAGATCTGAACTCTGCATTCCTGCCACATCCAGTTGTGAATGGTGTTGGACAAATAAACTCACTGGACGAGGAGGCTCCACAAATATCTCCACCCTCAATAATGGAACAGCCCAGCACATCAGTGCAAAAGATAAGTCTGAAGCATTCGCATTCACAGCAATCTTCAATCAGATGTGCCAAGTGGATGATTCCACCTCTGCCTCCTCCAGTGGTTCCCAGCATCACAGATACCAGTCTTCAGCCAATGCATTTCACTCCAAGTGATATCAGGAAACGTTGGAGACACTGGATACTGCAATGGCTATGGGCCCTGACAACATTCCAGCAATAGTACTGAAGACTTTGCTCCAGAACATGCTGCTCCCCAAGCCAAGCTGTTTCAGTACACTTACAGCACTGGAATCTACCCAACAATATGGAAAATTCTCGGGTCTGTGCTGTAAACAAAAAGCCGGACAAATCCAACCCACTCAATAACTACCCAATCAGTCTACTCTTGATCGTCAGTAAAATGATGGAAAGTGCCATCAACAGAGCTATCAAGCAGCACCTGCTCAGCAATAAGCTGCTCAGTGATGCCCAGTTTGGGTTCCGCCAGGGTTACTCAGCTCCTGATCTCATTACAGTCTTGGTTCAAACATGGACAAAAGGGCTGAATTCCAGAGATGAGGTGAGAGGGACAGCCTTTGATATCAAGGCTGCATTCAACCGACTGTGCTTTCAAGGAGCCCTAGCAAAACTGGAATCAATGGGAACCAGAGAATAAACTCTCCACAGGTTGGAGTCATACCTGGCACATGGTTATGGTTGTTGGAGGTCTCCCAAGTTAACCTGGCCAAATTTCAGGCCCTAATCACTGAAAATCAGGTTCTCTGGGTGGGGGATGTTGTTTGCATGGCTGACACCAGACCAAGATACCTGCTGTACTTGGATCTTGATCACTGCAGGAGGGTGTCAAGGGGAACAGTGAAAACACATTTAGGGATCTCCTCAGAGCCTCCCTGAAGAGGTCATACATCCTCTACACCCCTCCCCCAACACCCCACCTACCCCTGGGAGTCCCTGGCTTCTGACCATCCAGAATGGAGAAGGATCATTCTGGAAGGTACTGAACACACTGCCATATCACATTAGGAACACACTGAGGGAATTTCGAGCCGTTAGAGGGAGTGTTCAACCCTTCATATCACTCACCTCCCCAAAACGTCAAGAATCCCCTCCTCTACATGGGCCAGACCACACACTGAACTGATCGTTATCTCCGAATATAGGAAACTGAGTGAAAGCAAGCCACCCTCAATCCTGAGGGACTGCCTGAGGAGGGCAATTTTACAGCAGAATCGGAGACAGAGAAGAAAATCGAAGAATTTACATCCTATTTATTTATTTCCACTTTTATTTATTTCAGTTCCGATCCCTTTTGTCTGTTCTCCTCTTCTCAGTTCATTTTAACTGTCTCGCTTTGGATCTGTTTTAATTGCTCTGATTATTTATCTGCTTATTACTTGACACCTCCTTACCCTCTCTGCGCTGATCTTTTATTACAACCAACCAAATTCTCAGATTCACCCAATTCCGTCTCTGTCACTGGCTGACAACTGCATCTGTTTGAAAGGATTTGAGTTTGGTCAGTGTGAATACTTATTAACCGACTTGCTTTGTCAGTAACCTGGGCTAAAATGAAGCAGTTACTTTAGTTGCACAAAGGAATGATGGAGTTTAGAGTTTCAGAGTGATCTCACAGTGATGTGAACAATGGACTGGGTTCTGACCAAAAGTCAGACACTGAGTCAGTTTTCTCCCTTCTTGGCAAGGTGCTGTCTGAACGTTGTCCAGTTTTGCTTTATTTCTGCAGTGGGCAGGAATGTAGACACCCATTTGCCGCTTAGCCAGTCCACTGTCCCTCTGTGGATCAGTGAACAATGTTGAAATTTCTTCTAGCACAAGTCAGGAGATTCCCCTGGGTCACCAATGTTGTGTGGTACAGCTGCATCTTCACAGCGGGAGACCTGGCCCAGCAGAAGCTGCTGAAGAAGGAAAAGGTTGACTTGAAACAGACTCGGAACGTCGCCCTCCTGGCCTTCAGTTTCCATGGCAACCTCTTCTATATGTGGCTGAAGCTGATGGAGCACATGTTCCCTGGAACGGCACCAAGCAACGTCCTGCGGAAAGTGGTGTGTGACCAACTGGTAGTAACTCCCACTGGCATCAGCGGCTTTTACATTGGTGAGTGGGTACCATTGGGTTGGGCACCAGGGTAGGTGGCACACAGCCCTGGAGTGCAGCACCCTGAGTGTGGACTACAGCCTGAAAGTGGGTCAGATAGACCTCCGGCAACTGGGAACAGGTCATTTTAATCTGGCACTGAAGCTAAAAGTGAGACTTAGGGAGGTATGTGTGTTTGATAACATATTGGTAATGAGTTGTATTATCATCAATGGAGGTTCTATTGCTCAGTTGGCTGGACAGCTGCTTTGCAATGTAGAGCGACGCCAGTGATGAGTTCAATTCCCACATTGGCTGAGGTTACCTTAAAGGACTCTCCTTCTTAGGGTGGCACGTTGGCACAGTGGTTAGCACTGCTGCCTCGCAGCGCCAGGGACCCAGGTTTGATTCCAGCCTCAGGTGACTGTGTAGAATTTGTACATTCTCACCATGTTTGTGTGGGTTTCCTCCAGGTGCTCCAGTTTCCTCCCACAGTCTAAAGATGTACAGGTTGGGTAGATCAGCAATGCTAAATTCTCCCATAGTGTCCAGGGATATGTAGGCGAGGTGGATTAGCAGTGGGTTAGAACCATAGGGTAGGGGGGTGATTCTGGGTGGGAAGCTGTTTGCAGGGTTGGTGTGGACTTGACAGGCCAAATGGCCTGTTCCCACCCTGTAGGGTTTCAATTATTCTCAACCTTTCCCCTCACCTGAGGCATGGTGACCCTCAGGTTAAATCACTACGAGTTAACAGTTCAGGTCCATTGACCCTTCTTCAGATGCTGTCGAACCTGCTGAGATTTTCCAGCAATTTCTGTTTTCGTTTCTGATTTCCAGCATCCGCAGTTCTTCCAGGATTTTTTTGACAAGTTCACACTCTCTTCAATGAGACAGTGGCCCTATGGTTCAGTGGACCTTTTAGTGATCCTGTTGGCGGGCTCCATCGGGGCATTGGGTGATTATGTTTATGGGAACGATGTGCAGGGGCTTCAGAGAAAAGGTCTTAAATCAGCATTAAAATGCCCAGAGGTCCAGTGCAGGCATGATGGACTGAATGGTCTCCTTCTGCACTGTAACAATTCTGAGATGTTGTGGTGATTATCTCACTATCATTACAAAGGGTCCACTGACTCCAACTCAGATAGCACCTACTTGCCTCTGTCATTTTTCTCCACACTGCACATGCTCATACGTGTGTAAACTGAAATAAAAATCGGCGTTAGCCTTTTTTCTCCCCTTGCCAACAATGTACTTTTTCCCATTGCATTTACATTTTTAGGTGTTTGTTAGGTTTTTTTTAACACTTTATTTCAATTTACTTAAGAGATTTTGCTGCTGCAAATACAGGCTTGTAAGTATCATCATAATTAACTGGAATCAGCATTTGTGTTGAGATTGTAAATAATTGATCATGGAAACTTTCCCATTGCAATAGTTATCTGTTCCAATATTTTTTAGCCTTCTGACAGTGACATGTCTCAGGCACAACTGAAACATGGGTTAGTGAAAGTCAGGCCTTTTCAGAGCATCACAAGTCTTCCCATGTCATTGATTTTCCCATTTTCCCAGTCTGCTGCAGTGCTCCAGTGAAGCTCAGTGCAAGCTGGAAGAACAACACCTACAATACAATACAAGACAACAAGGTGCAGGGCTGGATGAACACAGCAGGCCAAGCAGCATCATAGGAGCAGAGAGGCTGACGTTTCGGGCCTAGACCCTTCATCAGAAAAGGGGGAGGGGAAGGGGGTTTTGAAATAAATAGGGAGAGAGTGGGAGGCGGATAGAAGAGGGATAGAGGAGAGGATAGGTGGAGAGGAAACAAACAGGTCGAAGAGGCGGGGATGGAGCCAGGAAAGGTGAGTGCAGGTAGGGAGTTAGGAAGGGGATAGGTCAGTCCAGGGAGGACGGACA